TATTTATTTATTTTAAGTAATTGATTAACATGATTGACTGGCAAGTCCAAAATCTGTAAGGCATACTGTCAGGCTGGAAGCTCAGGCAGGATTTCTATATTACAGTCTTGAGATAAGTTTTTTCTGCATAAAACCTCGGTTTTTGCTTCTAAGGCCTTCAATTGATTAGATGAGGCCCACCCACATAATGGAGGGTAATCTCCTTCACTTCAAGTCTACAGATTGTAGATATTAGCCACATCTACAAAGTGTCTTTACAGAAACATCTAAACTGGTGTTTGACCAATCTGGGCATCATAGCCTAGCCAACTTGATCTCTCTCTCTCTTTCTCTCTCTCTCTCTCTCTCTCTCTCTCTCTCTCTCTCTCTCTCTTCTCTCTCTCACACTCTCTCTCTCTGGTTGAGGTCTCACTCTGTTGCCCAGGCTGGAGTGCAGTGGCATGATTATGGTTCACCACAGCCTTGACCTCCTGGGCTCAGGTAATCTTTCCATCTCAGTCACAAAGTAGCTGGGACTACAGGTGTGTACCACCAGGGTAATTTTTAAAAAATTCTTGTGGTCTCCCTATGTTGCCTAGGCTGGTCTCAAACTCCTGGGCTCAAGCGGTCCTCCCACCCTGACCTCCCCAAATTCTTGGATTACAGGAGTGAGCCACTGTACCTAGCCCTTAACACATCAAATTTAACCATCACAAGCTCCAAACACTCTTTGGCCCAAAGCTTTTCAGAAAGATGGCATGTGAGCCAAGATCATATGGGGATCTCCCGGGTGTCAGGCACCCTTCCTCACCCTCAGAGGGCCTTTCCTCTGGGAAAGAAGATGGGAAAAAAGCCTCCATATTTCATATGATCCTTCTCATTTGCCTCAAGTACCATTCCTAAGTACAGAGCTGGTTTCTCTTTGTAGCATTCCAAGCAGTCACTTCCTTGGGGTTGTTCTTGCCTATCATCCCCACAGACATGACAACCAAGCTCTTCTTTCTGCAGTCCTCCCAGGTCTTTCCAAAACTCTTACTACATCACTCTACTGATTTCATTGAGAATTCAAAAGAAAATCTGATTAAGGAAAATCATGAAGATGATAAATGACTAGCGAAGACCACGGACACTGGAACAAAACTCTCTGGGTTCAGGTAACAATCCCACCACTTACTACTTGTGTGACTTTAGTCACATGACTTGTTATGTTCCCAAACATCACTTTCCTCATCTCTAAGATGGGGATAACAATGATAATTCCTTCCCCAAAAGGTTGATGTGAGGTGCTTTGCTTTGAACACTGCTTTGGGCATCGTTACTGTTGATATGATTTAAGTTAACTGTTACAGTGCTGAGAAAACACTTGACAATGGACTTTCTGTATTACTTAAACTATATGACACCTGGTGAAGATCTTCCCTGAGCCTTTCTGTCAACCATAATTTCTGTTTATGATAGTGGGAATTTTACATCTTTCCTCTTCACATATTCTGGGGGGCTAAGAAATCAGAGTCTGATGATGTCGAGAATCCCCCAAACAATTCATCCCTAAGATATATCATCACCCAAACTACAGAGGGTAAGAAAAGTAATATTTACTGAATGCTTTTTATGTGCCAATCTTTGTATATTATTTTATTTTATGTTTATAACATCCCTGTAAATTAAATATGTCACCCCCAATCTAGAGAGGAAGAAACTGAGGTTTATATTTTAAATAACTGCCGGTGGGGGGGGGCATACCTCATCAACAAGGGTACCTGCATAATGAACATTTGTATACCTAACCCTAATAGTACCCAGCATCTTTAAAGTAAAAGATTTAAAAAAGAAAAAAAAAAGATTTAAATAACTTGCCCAGCATTATAGAGCAGAACAGGGATTGTCCAGCTCCAAAGCCTAAAGTTTTGCCAGTTATTCCATGGTGCTTCCCTCAAAAGGGAAGACCTTGCCCTGTTTCTTGCTGGCTGACACTTTCTGTATAATCTAAACATATTTCTCACATATTTGTGAAGTGTTCTTATTTATTTTACTTCACCAAATTGAATTCTTAATTCTAGATTGCCTCTCAGGACATTCAGTGAAGGACAATTGTGAAGTGGGAAGGAGACCTTGAATTGCACATGCTTGAATTATACTAACTAAATTTAACTAATGGGAGAAGAGATGTCTGAAGTTCTTGATTTTCCATTGTTTCTAAGCTAAACCACTGTTTACAAGGAAAGTGTCAGAGGACCATGCAGAAAAAGTTACTTCTTTTCCTTTAGTTTTAGACTCAAGTAAATGTTTGCTAACAATATGATTTACCAAATAAGTTGAAGAAGCTTGAAAATAAGTTCAAGAAGTCCCCAAATGACCAAGATTTCGAAGACAGTTAATCACAATGAAAGACCTCATGGCCAACTAATTCTTAGTTGTGACTTCCAACCTGTACTCTAACAGACACATCCAGCTACTTACCCATAGGTCCACCCACCCATCTATCTAGCATACATTTAGTGAGTAGAGACCCATTATATGCTAAGTACCCGTTTTAGGAACAGGGATAAAGCATTGCTTACAGTACAAACTGAGGGTTGAGACTGTAATAATCTAATAACAAATGAATCACAAAGCTGATTTCAAACGCAGATAGGTGCTATGAGTGAAATAGAAAATGAGGATATGGGTTTCATGGTCAGAGTGTGATCAGGGAGGATCTTTCTTAACATTTGGCATTTGAGTTGGGGACCTGAGTGAGAAAGAGCCAGACCTTTGCAAAACCGAAAAGGGAACTCCCAGACATGGGAAGTTCTAACAACAAAGGTACCAAAATCAGGAAGAAGGCATTAGGGTTGGATGGAGAGTGGTGACCTGGAAGGTGAGTAGGACCTTGTACTACTGGAAGGAGTCTGCCTGAAGGGTCTGAATTATAATCTAAGCATAATGGAGTCAGACTGCAGGTAGCAAGCAGGAGTTAATTTATGGGTAACCTTTTAAAACATAAATTCAGCCGGGCTCGGTGGCTCAGCCTGTAATCCGCGCCTGAGGTGAGTGGATTGCCTGAGCCTGCGGGTTCCAGACCCACCTGGGCAGGCGAGACCTCATCTCTACAATAAATCAAAAAATTAGCCGGGCGTGGTAGCGCATGCCTGTAATTCCTGCTACTCGGAAGGCTGAGGCAGAAGGATCACCGGAGCCAGCAGGTCGAGGCTGCGGTGGCCGGGAGCAGCCACCGCACTCCAGTCTGGGCGACAGAGTGAGACTCCAACTCAAAAACAAAAAACAAAACAAAACAAAAACCCATAAATTCAGATGCCTGGTCAAGAATTACTTATATTACTTAAAAGGCAGAAGGATTAGGGTAAAATTGCAGACGTTGTGGAGAAAGAGGACTACAAACTCATAAATCTCTACGGTTATGGAGACTTCATTGGTAAAAGAAAGTTGAATTTATTTTAACAATGTCTCCATTTACATGCATCACATCTGCTACAAAATAAGTTGTTTTATTTTTATTTTGTCAGAGTTAGAGATGAGGGCGTGGCTGTGGGTTAGCAATTATATATAACTTCATTGTATATTAGAAAGGCATTTTGCTGTTGCAGTAAGGAACCACTGTGCAGGGCTTTGGTCCTCCCTAAAGGACAGAATCAGTATCTAGAGGAAATTAATTCTTCCTTCCGGTCGAAATGCAAAATTGCAGAAATCATTTGCTAAATATGGCCAGCCATTCTGAAGAGGCCAGAGAGTCCTTCTTCAGACATATTTTATTAGAGGCCATTTACCGATTTCTACCGATTATTATGGACAACTGAGGGGACATCTGCGACCATGGAGACTTGCTGGCATTTTCTTTGGTCTCAGAGAGAAGCTAGTTCTGAAAGTGGTGTCAGTGGAGCAGCCCTGCCCGCCAACTTCCTAGCTTAGGGGCGGTGGCGGAGCGCGGTGAGGCGGTGTCCTTTCAACTCCTAGATCAGTATCAGCAAAACGTCTGGAAGAGTTATGATGCTGCTGAATGTAGAAAAAGGGCTCACAAGGCGAATCCATTGTCATCCTTCCTGGTGGCTGAGGGGAGTGACAAGACGCTCACACGTCGCTGAGGAGTAGCGCGGCATCATAAAAGGTGGTTAGCACCATTTGTGTCACAGATTTCTCGGGTGCTCTGGAAGGTTTTTCCCAGTTCCGCCTTCCCCGCTTTGCCGTCATCTCGGCCCCAGCTGTGCACCGGCCCTTGGCTCCATCTGTCTTTCTGCGGGGGACCAGTCTCTCTCGCCAAATGGAGAACACAAGTTTGACTCCCCAAAGTGATCATAACCCCCACCTGCTCGCGCAGCCGGAGCCGAGCGTCAGGCCTGCGAAGGGACCGTCAAGAGGACGGAGGGGGAGAGAGCGGAGGGACCATTCCCCTCACGCCCCCCTCTCCATCACCCCTTGGCGCCCAGAGCCTGGGCACACGCCCCGCCTGCGCCTGCCCCGCCCCGCGCTCCAAGCCTCCGGGTCCTTTC